ATCCATCCTTGACCAATACCAACCATATTACAATATTAAATCAATAATATTATTAAATTGGATCAAAGCAGTCATGAAATTAGTTGAGGGTGTGCATGGTCCAAGTTGGTTTAGGTTAAAACGCTTTGTCATTACATATTTATAAAGTATAAAACAAAGAAATTGAGTACGATCATCCGATAAAATAGTGAAATACTAATAATAATTTGAGTTTTTATATAAGAGGACATTCATAATGAATTAATCAACAGTCATAAAAGCAAATGCAATCATAGAATGGTCAACGTAAGTTATGATTTCAAAAATGAACATCTAAAAATAGAAACAGGTATAAATGTAAAGCCCTAAACATTGTAGAGAAAATTTCTTCTCTTTGTTAATATGGAACAAGATTTTTTATTTCTAGAAATACAAAAACATGCATGACAAACAAGTTTTTATGTTTTACAAGACTAAATATAGAAAACTTAAAAAACCAAAATTTCCAAGCAATCCCACCATTATATTACAGACTTAAGTCCGTGAACTGTCCTTACTTTTATCCCGTATTGGTGACCCTGGTTCCCACCATTTTTGGATCTCCCCGAGTACTGTTTTTAAACCATGACGGGCCTTTGCTTGTCGACGGATCATCCTGACAGCCTTCTTCTGCCAGCTCTGAATACAGAATTTTTTTCAAAGAACGCTAATAATTAGAAAAAATTAAATCAACAATTTACTACGCAGGTACTTGCATTAGTCCAGTTTATGATAGGGCCATAAGTACAGCGCTATAGACTAGTAAATGCCTAAAGACTAGACAATATAGTAATGTGAAACAACATTCACAACATACACCCATAAGATAAAAATTATTAAAAGTTTCAATATAGTAAATACCCCAGTCAAATTTGAGCAGATCCTTTCATACATACATCTGCTACAATTTACTTTCACTTAAATAGAAAACTAAGCCTCAGCGCATCACTTCAAGCGAATATAGTGATATTCAACCCTTATTATTAATATATTAATAGGCAGAACCCACGCTGCATGATTCAAAGTGTATTCACGACAAAAAACATGCATCCATAGAAGCTAGATTTTTAGACCAAAAATGTGTGTCACCAACAATTGATAAACTTCCTCCAAACTTAATTATTGACATAAAATCCCTAATGCATGACATAATCATGAAATAAAATTTTCATTGAGTCACTTAATCCGCTATGCACAATTAAATAGTGCTTTTCTACTGCTTTGATTCTTGAACACCATCCCAAAAGTCTGAGAGAAAGAAGATGCGAATTCTCTTTCCCGCATAAGATATACACAAATTGTTAGCTCTGATTATAGCCATGCTGGACCACCATGACATTAGCAGCGTCATCATTTCAAGGGAAAAAGTGAGCTAGAGGTAAATGTTCCAAAATCCATGGTCAGCAAAAGCTGCAAAACCAATGTCGAGAATTTGCTGAAATCGTCTCAAGTTTTGAGTTCCATATAAGTAATTGGGCAAAAGCGAATGACCGGATACATGGTTGATCGGTTCTACTGATTAAGCCCCACAAGAAAGCATATATTGCTAAATTTAGTACATGTGCGGCTAATGAGAGTGTCATTGCATTTTATCGAATTAAAACTAGATGATCTATATATTCACGTTTATTTAGCTGTGCCTACACTTATAACACAAGCTCCAGTATCAAACAGAGGCCTATCAACCCTACCTATCGTAATACATGCTAGAAACCATTGAATTTTCAACTTTTTTAATATGAACCAAAGAACAACTGATTATTTAATCTCTATCAGAACTCGAGTTTGAAAATTCTGTTATAACCTTTTAACCATAACCAGAGAAAACCTTAAAACATATGCAAAACTAGGAAACAAGCGGGTATTACTAGGCCATCATTTATCAGGACAAATATATAACAACCTAGCACATGTACACCAACCTGAAAGAGGTAATCCGCATAAGAGCTAACATTACGCAACAAAGTTTTCTTCGATTGCATCTTTTTGAACCTTGGAATATGCATTGCAATACTGATGAGATCTCTGCATATTTGAACAGCAAATAAATATTTTCATTCAACATCAGAAAGAAATAAAGTACATAGTATAATAAGGCAGAAATTTCAAAATAAAAACAACAACAATATCCAACATAAATTTTTGAGAATGTGGTCTATTTAATTTACGGAAACTACAATACTTTAAAGCAAAACAAAAATAATATTTATAAAAAAGAAATACCTACAACCAGGTTTAACAAAATAAACAGAATTTCAAAACAAATTGACCATTAATTGACAATTACAACAAACAAGCCTACAAGATAAAAGAAAAGTAAGAACCAGTTTTAACAGCCAGCTACTTCATATATCCAAAGTTTCATCATTACTTCTAAACAAAAGAGTCCTACTTGCCCAATTTGAAATGTGTCGTTCTACCATACTTGTACCCAAAATTGAAGAAAACAAAAGCAAAACATTCAAAGAATTTACAATCGAACTGAGGCAATCTTTCTCTTCACTACCCCTTAAAGCTTTTTTTTTTTTCTTTTTTAAATGACCGATATCTGAGCCAGCTTACTGCACACTTCAACTAATCCCTCCGAACCGAAACTACCAGCCGGTAAAAACTCAAGTGCCACCCTATTAGCAATCAATGAGGAACGCAAATTCAAGACCTCTTTAGTAATACACCTAAGAGTCTCTACGAACCACTGGTCCATCCAAAGGTTGGTTACAACCTTGCTTCTCATTGTAATTACAATTTCAATTATTTCCATCAACAGAATGGATTTAAAATGAAAAAAAAATGAAGTAGCAACCTGTAACAGTAGTAATAATGCTTATAGTAAAATACAACCACAACAATCTAAACAATTTCTTCAAATATCGTAAAGCCCATCCTCACAAATATCAACAAACCCAACTCAAAGATCAACTCTAAGCCTCAAGCTATCACATTATAAGACCCCACGAATCAAAATAAAAAAATATATATTCATTCAATCAAAACCACAAAAATAATAAGAGATGAACAAACTCAGATTAAAGAAAGAGAGCAAAAATTCTAAGCATCAAGCATTACATCAAGAACACCATAAATCAGCACAAAAATCCACATCAATAAACCCAGTAAATTACAGAAAAATGAAGAGAACCATAAAATCAGCCTCAACCCATAATCCTAAACACAGCCAACAAAAAAAAAAAAACCCATTAAACTATACGAAAAAATGAGAGAACCCAGAGAGAAAAGAGAGAGATAAGGCACACTGACCGGCGTTTGCCAATAGCTGCGTCGTCTACGTCAAGACAGGATTGAATGAAACATAGCGAGCCTCAGCTGACTTAAATGGGTTTGTGGGTTGAAATTGCCGCCTTTATTGCGCTATTCATTTCTGAACTCAACGAGAAATTGGCGAGAGAGATTGTGAATATATCTGCTGCGCGCTTCAGAGTTTAGTGAAAATGGGGGTCGTGTTTACCGCCGTACCGTGCCTTACCGGCCCGGCACGGTTGGATTTAAAATTCAAAGCGACGGTTTAGGGAGCCCGCCCCACGCGAATTATACCGGGGCCCAGTGTGTTAAAATCAGACCTGGCCCACCGAGTATATATTGAATTTTAGAAAGTTACAATAACCCCCTAAAAAATTTCAGATAGTCCTGACAATTTTTATCCGATACTTTCTCATTCAAGCCTCACAGTTTAACTTCAAACTTTGGTCTCACTCTTGTATATCAATATTATATAAACTGGGTAATAATACTTATCAGATCGTAATGTTAATGACTTTTATATGACATAAATTAAAAATTAAAACAAAATTTGAGTATTAATTACAATATTAGGTTGCAAAGGTTTAGAAAAGAGTACCAATACCCAGGGCGATGTAGTTAGGGGTGTTCAAAAGTGATTAACTGAATTGGTTAACCACTTTTCTAAACCAAACCGCATTTAAGGGAAACCGGTTTTTCGGTTAACCGTTTTTCTCTCTTTTTCCTTTTTTTTTTTCTTTTGATAAAACTTTTTTTTTTTTTTAATTTTGTCATATTAAATTGTAAATTAAACAATACATATCCAAATAAAATAAACATTCATACATATCCATTGACCACATAAGTCATAACACCACATAAAAAATTGATTGAATTGATCTACTAAATTTTAAGTTATATTAAATAAATTATCTTTTCAATTGAGATATCTCAATTTTATAAGTATTTGACTTGAGTGAACCGAAATTTAAACATAGAGTAGGACTATATTTCTCAATGAAATCCTAAATCTATATTTCAACTTTTCAAGTGATGTCCGTCTTATGTGACACAAACATATTATTAAATATTAATCATTTAAATTCTCAAGTAACATATTACTTGTGATAAAAAAAAAATTGGAATATTAGTAGGGACAATGATTTTCAAACCATTTTAAAATGCGAAGATTAGCTTGGATTGAATCTTTGATAAAAGAGGAACTGGATGAGGGTGGTGACATGGAAATCCAACGACAGAAAAAGAGTATAAAGTAGGAAATAAAATCGATCAAACACGTGGAAGGCAATGAAGTTGAAGTCTATACATACAAAAATATAATGCGGTAAATAAACAGTTAGAAAATAGTTAAAAATTACACTATTTTAAGTTAATAAATATTAAAAAATTATCCTCTTAATAATTAATTTAAAAAATAAAAACTTATTATAAAAGAATTTCTGTTATTTCTAAAACCATCGAAGAATTTTTGTTAACTATATTATACCTCATGGGTTAAGATAACTCTAAAATGAGATTGTTTTTCATTCACACATGTCAACTTTTTATTGGTCAATTTACAAAATTATTTCACCTACAATTTTCTTTTAATGGAAAATATATTTTGATGGAGGAAATCCTCAGATATCCCAGCAGGCCGACACAGTTAAATATCCGCTTTTTTTTTCTTTTAATCGATTTATAACTTCAGGAATTGTGAACGTTTATTGTTAAATACTCGTACTATGGTGGCAATCCGATGGTTCACATGAGATAATGTTATGAGGTATTGTTACAACATAATGGAACATCCTAAAGTTCCATAACACACATATCCAAAGAACCCTAAATTTAAAACCTGCCTGAAGGAAACAGAGCACTGAAGTTTGTAATTTCCATCAAGATTCAACTTTGGTTTATTCTGAAAGAACCATCTAGTAAACCTGAATTCATAAATAAGAATTGGCAATGGAAAAAAAGGATGTCATTGCCATCAACGGATATTATCACAGAGTAAACCTATTCTAGTCATCCAAAGCACCATTTCTTCGAAGCTCTAAAGCTGCAAAACTCGTATTAATTGTAATAAGCTCGTTGCATCTGCTAGCACGCTTCAAGAGTTGCCGGGAGTTGAATGGAAATAGCTTTCGGATTTCACACGAATTGCGAGAACCTTAGTTCACAGCTAGTTTGTCGCATAAAGATTGGTATGCTCGACTGCACAGCTTGAATTTTTCCTCCGCGACAACCTGTTCAAGAATATTAAGAGTTTGCCTGTTAGAACCGCTTGATTTCCTGTGACAACAGTGTACCTAAGGGAAAAAGATTATGGCAGCTGAAGTAAACAAGAGCATAATTCATTCATATTATGAAAAAATCTTGGAGATCGATTAAAGAGGTGGTTTATTCATCGTTTAACAACTATTATCATAGATGTCACAAGACCCCAATCAATTTTTAACGAAGGAGCTCACCAAAATATCCCACAAAGCAAACCGTTGAAAAAAAATCAATAAATGGGCAGGCAACCATGATCAATGGGGGAAGAGTAGTACCTTGGAAGAACCTTGGTGACGATCTGGATGCCATTTCAGTGCACACACTCGATATCTACGATGAAGCAGAGGGAGATTAGACAAGAGAGGAAAACATATTCCCACTGACAACAGCAACGGTTGGAAAGAAAATCATAATACAAAGGATAAAAACCAAAAAAAAAAAAAAAAAAAAAAATCTAAACGACCATCAAATGGTGAGCCAAAGAGAATCATCGAAAACTTACGCAGTTTTAACTTCTTCAAGTTTTAGAGGACCATAAGCACTTAGTCCAAGAGCCTGCCTATCTGAAGCCATGTCTGAGTCTAAATTGTCTGACTCTGTTGAGGACTCATATTCCTCTTCAATTCGAGCTCTCCAATTCCTGGAATTCGTATATTCATAATAATAACTAGATGAGCTCCTCCGTTTACTCTTCTCTTCATGAATGAAGGACCAAAAGAAGCAGCGGCTCTTGCCAAATACAGATCCCAAAATTCTCTCGACATCAACATCAATTTCATCGTCATCTTCACAAAACTGGAAACCTCCTAAGTAAAATTTAAAAATGCATCAGTAGTCATTCAGTATAGTTTTATGAAATTGTTTTGGCAAAGTAATAAAAATAAGAAATTGAAACATATAATTTATGGAGTTGAGAATAGATTTGACATCATTTTTTTCAAAATAATATCATGAAAATGAAAACAATAATAAACATTCTGAAGAGTTTTTTGAAAATGATTAAAAAAATAATATATAATTATAAGAAAAATCTTAATAATTTAAAATCAAAATCAAATTATTTATTAAAAAAACACACAACTCAAAAGTAATTTATGATTTCAAAAAATGAACATCTAAAAATAGAAACAGTTATAAATGGAAAGCCCTAAACATGTAGAGAAAATTTTCTTCTCTTTGTTAATAAGTGAGAACAAGATTTTTTATTTTCTAGAAATACAAAAACATGCATGACAAACAAGTTTTTTATGTTTTACAAGACTAAAATATAGAAAACTTAAAAAACCAAAATTTCCAAGCAATCCCACCAATTATATTACAGAGTTAAGTCCGTGAACTGTCCTTACTATTATCCCAGTATTGGTGACCCTGGTTCCCACCATTTTTGGATCTCCCCGAGTACTGGTTTTTAAACCATGACGGGCCTTTGCTTGTCGACGGATCATCCTAAAAAAGGCCTTCTTGCCAGCTCTGAATACAGAAATTTTTTTCAAAGAACAGCTAAATAATTAAGAAAAAATTAAATCAACAATTTAGCTACGCAGGTACTTGCATTAGTCCAGTTTATGATAAGGTCCATAAGTACAGCTCTATAGACTAGTAAATAGCCTAAAGACTAGACAATATAGTAATGTGAAACAACATTCACAACATGACACCCATAAGATGAAAAAATTATTAAAAGTTTCAATATAGTAAACACTCCAGTCAAATTTGAGCAGATCCTTTCATACATACATCTGCTACAATTTACTTTCACTTAAAATAAGAAAACATAAGGCCTCAGCGCATCAGCTTCAAGCGAATATAGTGATATTCAACCCTTATTATTAAATATATTAATTGGCAGAACCCACACTGCATGATTCAAAGTGTAAATTCACGACAAAAAACATGCATCCATAGAAAGCTAGAATTTTAGACCAAAAATGATGTGTCACCAACAATTGATAAACTTCCTCCAAACTTAATTATTTGACATAAAATCCCATAATGCATGACATAATCAATGAAATAAAATTTGCATTTAGTCACTTAATCCGCTATGCACGATTAATATAGTGCTTTTCTACTGCTTTGATTCTTGAACACCATCCCAAAAGTCTGGAGAAAAGAAGATGCAGAAATTCTCTTTCCCGCATAAGATATACACAAAATTGTTAGCTCTGATTATAGCCATGCTGGACCACCATGACATTAGCAGCGTCATCATTTCAAGGGAAAAAGTGAAGCTAGAGGGTAAATGATTCCAAAATCCATGGTCAGCAAAAGCTGCAAAACCAATGTCGAGAATTTGTTGAAATCGCCTCAAGTTTTGAGTTCCATATAAGTGAAATTGGGCAAAAGCGAATGACCGGTATACATGGTTGATCGGCTCTACTGATTAAGCCCCAACAAGTAAAGCATATATTGCTAAATTTAGTACACATGCTGCTAATGAGAGTGTCATTGGCATTTTATCGAAATTAAAACTAGATGATCTATAGTATTCAACGTTTATTTAGCTGTGCCTACACTATATACACAAGCTCCAGTATCAAACAGAGGCCTATCAACCCTACCTATAGTAATACATGCTAGAAACCATTGAATTTTCAACTTTTTTAATATGAACCAAAGAACAACTGATTATTTAATCTCTATCAAGAACTCGAGTTTGAAAATTCTGTTATAACCTTTTAACCATAACCAGAGAAAACCTTAAAACATATGCAAAACTAGGAAACAAGCGGGTATTACAAGGACAATCATTTATCAGGACAAATATATAACAACCTAGCAACATGTACACCAACCTGAAAGAGGTAATCCGCATAAGAGCTAACATTACGCAACAAAGTTTTCTTCGATTGCATCTTTTTGAACCTATTGGAATATGCATTGCAATACTGATGAGATCTCTGCATATTTGAACAGCAAATAAATATTTTCATTCAACATCAGAAAGAAATAAAGTACATAGTATTAAAGGCAGAAATTTCAAAATAAAAACAAACAACAATATCCAACATAAATTTTTGAGAAATGTGTCTATTTAATTTACGGGAAACTACAATACTTTAAAGCAAAACAAAATAATATTTATAAAAAAAGAAATACCTACAAGCCAGGTTTAACAAAATAAACAGAATTTCAAAAACAAATTGACCAATTAATTGACAATTACAACAAAACAAGCCTACAAGATAAAAAGAAAAGTAAGAACCAGTTTTAACAGCCAGCTACTTCATATATCCAAAGTTTCATCATTACTTCTAAACAAAAAGAGTCCTACTTGCCCAATTTGAAATGGTGTCGTTCTACCATTACTTGATACCCAAAAATTGAAGAAAACAAAAGCAAAACATTCAAAGAATTTACAATCTGAACTGAGGCAATCTTTCCTCATTCACTACCCCTTAAAGCTTTTTTTTTTTTTTCTTTTTTTTAAATGACCGGAGTATCTGAGCCAGCTTACGCACACTTCAACTAATCCTCCGAGACCCTGAAACTACCAGCCGGGTAAGAACTCCAATGGCCACCCCTATTAGCAATCAATGAGGAACGCAAATTCAAGACCTCTTTAGTAATACACCTAAGAGTCTCTATCGAACCACTTGGTCATCCAAAGGTTGGTTACAACCTTGCTTCTCATTGTAATTACAATTTCAATTATTTCCATCAACAGAATGGATTTAAAAATGAAATAAAAAATGAAGTAGCAACCTGTAACAGTAGTAATAATGCTTATAGTAAAATACAACCACAACAATCTAAACAATTTCTTCAAATATCGGTAAAGCCCATCCTCACAAATATCAACAAACCCAACTCAAAGATCAAATCCTAAGCCTCAAGCTATCAAGCATTATATCAAGGACACCACGAATCAAAATAAAAAAATATATATTCAATTTCAATCAAAACCATCAAAATAAATAAGAGATGAACAGAACTCAGATTAAAGAAAGAGAGCAAAAATTCTAAGCATCAAGCATTACATCAAGAACACCGTAAACCAGCACAAAAATTCCACATCAATAAAACCCAGTAAATTACAAGAAAAATGAAGAGAACTCATTAAAATCAGCCTCAACCACAATCCTAAACACAGCCAATCAAAATAAAATAAATAAATAAAAACCCATTAAACTATACGAAAAAATGAAGAGAACCCAGAGAGAAAAGAGAGAGATAAAGGCACACTGACCGGCGTTTGCCAATAGCTGCGTCGTCTACGTTCAAGAACAGGAGTTGAATGAAACATAGCGAGCCTCAGCTGACTTAAATGGGTTTGTGGGTTGAAAATTGCCGCCTTTATTGCGCTATTCATTTCTGAAACTCAACGAGAAATTGGCGAGAGAGATTGTGAATACTTATGCTGCTGCGCGCTTCAGAGTCTTAGTGAAAATGGGGGTCGTGTTATGGTACCGTACCGGTAGCCTTACCGGCCCGGCACGGCCTTGGATTTAAAATTCAAAGCGACGGGTTTAGGGAGTTGAAAAAATGGGCCCTACCCGGCCCACGCTTGGCGTGGCCGGGCATAATTATACCGGGGCCCAGTGCTAGAAAATCAGGCCTGGCCCAAGCCCGAGTTTATTATTGAAATTTTAGAAAGTTACAATAACCCCCTAAAAAATTTCAGATAGTCCTGAGAATTTTTATCCGATACTTTCTCATTCAAGGCCTCACAGTTTAACTTCAAACTTTGGTCTCACTCTTGTATATCAACATTATATAAACTGGGTAATAATAACTTATCGGATCGATAATGTTAATAACTTTATATAATTGACATAAAATTAAAAATTAAAACAAAAATATTGAGTATTATATTACAATATTAGGTTGCAAAGGTTTAGAAAAGAGTACCAATACCCAGGGGCGGATGTAGTTAGGGGGTGTTCAAAAGTGATTAACTNTATACACAAGCTCCAGTATCAAACAGAGGCCTATCAACCCTACCTATAGTAATACATGCTAGAAACCATTGAATTTTCAACTTTTTTAATATGAACCAAAGAACAACTGATTATTTAATCTCTATCAAGAACTCGAGTTTGAAAATTCTGTTATAACCTTTTAACCATAACCAGAGAAAACCTTAAAACATATGCAAAACTAGGAAACAAGCGGGTATTACAAGGACAATCATTTATCAGGACAAATATATAACAACCTAGCAACATGTACACCAACCTGAAAGAGGTAATCCGCATAAGAGCTAACATTACGCAACAAAGTTTTCTTCGATTGCATCTTTTTGAACCTATTGGAATATGCATTGCAATACTGATGAGATCTCTGCATATTTGAACAGCAAATAAATATTTTCATTCAACATCAGAAAGAAATAAAGTACATAGTATTAAAGGCAGAAATTTCAAAATAAAAACAAACAACAATATCCAACATAAATTTTTGAGAAATGTGTCTATTTAATCTACAGGAAACTACAATACTTTAAAGAAAAACAAAATAATATTTATAAAAAAAGAAATACCTACAAGCCAGGTTTAACCACATAAACAGAATTTCAAAGACAAATTGACCAATTAATTGACAATTACAACAAAACATGCTTACAAGATAAAAAGAAAAATAAGAACCAGTTTTAACAGCCAGCTACTTCATATATCCAAAGTTTCATCATTACTGCTAAACAAAAAGAGTCCTACTTGCCCAATTTGAAATGGTGTCGTTCTACCATTACTTGATACCCAAAAATTGAAGAAAACAAAAGCAAAACATTCAAAGAATTTACAATCCGAACTGAGGCAATCTTTCCTAATTCACTACCCCTTAAAGCCTTTTTTTTTTTTTTTTTAAATGACTTGGGCATCTGAGCCAGCTTATGCACACTTCAACTAATCCCCCGAAACCTTGGAACTACCAGCCGTGTAAGAACTTCAGTGACCACCCTATTAGCAATCAAGGAGGGAATCAAATTCAAGACCTCTTTAGTAATACACCTAAGAGTCCCTATCGAACCACTCGGCCATCCAAGAGTTGGTTCCAACCTTGCTTCTCATTGTAATTGCAATTTCAATTATTTCCATCAACAGAATGGATTTAAAAATTAAAAAAAAAAAAATGAAGTAGCAACCTGTAACAGTAGTAATAATGCTTATAGTAAAATACAACCACAACAATCTAAACAATTTCTTCAAATATCAGTAAAGCCCATCCTCACAAATATCAACAAACCCAACTCAAAGATCAAATCCTAAGCCTCAAGCTATCAAGCATTATATCAAGGACACCACGAATCAAAATAAAAAAAAATATATTCAGTTTCAATCAAAACCATCAAAATAAATAAGAGATGAACAGAACTCAGATTAAAGAAAGAGAGCAAAAATTCTAAGCATCAAGCATTACATCAAGAACACCGTAAACCAGCACAAAAATTCCACATCAATAAAACCCAGTAAATTACAAGAAAAATGAAGAGAACTCATTAAAATCAGCCTCAACCACAATCCTAAACACAGCCAATCAAAATAAAATAAATAAATAAAAACCCATTAAACTATACGAAAAAATGAAGAGAACCCAGAGAGAAAAGAGAGAGATAAAGGCACACTGACCGGCGTTTGCCAATAGCTGCGTCGTCTACGTTCAAGAACAGGAGTTGAATGAAACATAGCGAGCCTCAGCTGACTTAAATGGGTTTGTGGGTTGAAAATTGCCGCCTTTATTGCGCTATTCATTTCTGAAACTCAACGAGAAATTGGCGAGAGAGATTGTGAATACTTATGCTGCTGCGCGCTTCAGAGTCTTAGTGAAAATGGGGGTCGTGTTATGGTACCGTACCGGTAGCCTTACCGGCCCGGCACGGCCTTGGATTTAAAATTCAAAGCGACGGGTTTAGGGAGTTGAAAAAATGGGCCCTACCCGGCCCACGCTTGGCGTGGCCGGGCATAATTATACCGGGGCCCAGTGCTAGAAAATCAGGCCTGGCCCAAGCCCGAGTTTATTATTGAAATTTTAGAAAGTTACAATAACCCCCTAAAAAATTTCAGATAGTCCTGAGAATTTTTATCCGATACTTTCTCATTCAAGGCCTCACAGTTTAACTTCAAACTTTGGTCTCACTCTTGTATATCAACATTATATAAACTGGGTAATAATAACTTATCGGATCGATAATGTTAATAACTTTATATAATTGACATAAAATTAAAAATTAAAACAAAAATATTGAGTATTATATTACAATATTAGGTTGCAAAGGTTTAGAAAAGAGTACCAATACCCAGGGGCGGATGTAGTTAGGGGGTGTTCAAAAGTGATTAACTAAATTGGTTAACCGCTTTTCTGAACCGAACCGGATTTTCAACTCGGGAAAATTCCCAAACCGGTTTAAGGGAAAACCGGTTTTTCGGTTAATCGGTTTTCCCCTTTTTTTTTTTTCTTTTGATAAAACTTATTTTTTTTTTAAATTTTGTCCTAAATTAAATTGTAAATATAAACAATACATATCCAAATTAAAATTAAACATTCATATATATCCATTGACCACTACTAACACTAAATTAAAAATTGATACAAATAAAAGTCCGAAATGAAATAAAAATAAAAGTCCATAATAAAACAATAAAATAAATAAGTAAGTCCCAATGGAAAACAACAAAAGAAATTGAGCAAATACAACTCCACAAGTGAAAAGCGAAAACCAACATTAAGTCACTACGAGTAGATCTCCCAATTTCTGCCCAAATAAAAATTAAATGTTAGAAGTTTATAAAAATTAAATCATATTTTTTTTTCATTACCTACAATAACAAAACTATTAAAGAAATCAAACCTCAATTAAATGCCGCAAAACCTCATCTAGAAAACTTTTTGACAATAAATAATACAATTATAGAGCAACATGTAAGAAAAAGCCTAGATCTGATACCTGATCATTAGAAGAAGACAACAAAGCTGAAAAGTGAAAGTTATTGGAAGAAAATCACGAAGCTGCTCTGCTACAGTGTTGCCTGCTGGAGTTGGAAGAAGACAACGAAGCTGCCCCCTCACGCCTGCCGGAAGAGAAGGACGAAGTTGCTAGAGTTGGAAGAAGACAACGAAGCTGCCGCCTCACGCCTGCCGGAAGAGAAGGACGAAGTTGCTAGAGTTGGAAGAAGACAAAGAAGCTTCCACCTGCCGGAAGAAAATGGCAAAGCTGTTGGAGCTGGAAGAAGACGACGAAGCTGCTCTGTTGCCTGCTGGAGCTAGAAGAAGACAACGAAGCTGCCACCTCACGCCTTCCGGAAGAGAAGGACGAAGTTGCTGGAGCTGGAAGAAGACGAAGAAGCTTCCACCTGTCGGAAGAAAATGGCGAAGTTGTTGGAGTTGGAAGAAGATGACAAAGCTGTTCTGCTACCTGTTGGAGCTGGAAGAAGATGACGAAGGCATGAAGCTACCACCTACCAAAAGAGAAGGACGAATTTGCTAGAGCTGGAAGAAAGATGACGATATCGGGAATTTGGGAACTGAGAGTGAGAATTGAGAAGGGATATCAGGAATTTTTGGGTTGGGATTTTAGATTAAGTGAATTAGGGATTTATTTTAGTTTAGGTTATTATTTATTTATTTATTTAATATATAATATATATATTTGTAAAACCGGTTCAGAAAACCGATTTTTGGTTAACCGTTTCTAATTTTTCCCAAACTAGTAACTGAACCAGAAATTCGGTTTTTTGAATTTTTCGAACTGTAACCGAACCATTTTTTCGGTTCGATTTAGTTTTTGCATTTTTTTGAACACCTTTAGATGTAGTACATGACCCACCCTCAAAATAAAAAAAAAAATATTAATATGTATAATTTATAGATTTTGGTTCACCCTAACAGAAATATTAATGGATAAAAATATTAATATGTAATTAATTTTAATTTTGGTTCATCCTAACAAAAATTTATGATCCACCCTTGACCAATACCAATCATATTACAATATTAAATCAATAATATCATTAAATTGGATCAAAGCAGTCATGAAATTAGTTGAGGGTGTGCATGGTCCAAGTTGGTTTAGGTTAAAACGCTTTGTTATTACATATTTATAAAGTACAAAATAAAGAAATTGAGTAGGACCATCCGATGAAATAGTGCAATACTAATAATAATTTGAGTTTTTATATAAGAGGACATTCATAATGAATTAATCAACAGTCATAAAAGCAAATGCAATCATAGAATGGTCGGATTATGGATGCATTTGGCTTCAGTTGATTTGTGTTTTTGAAGCACTGTTTCCCACAATCAAGAAGGATACAATTTTCTTATATAATGTCTCTTGACATCTTTTCGCATCAGTTTGAAGCACCATCAACGCAGTTACAAAAAAAATAAAAATATAAAATATATTAATAACCACAATATTAATTAATAATTAACCAGAGTATTTCCATATAAAAGACTACTATTTAGCAAAGAAATTTATCCTTTTTATA